TCTTTTAGGGTTGGTACAGACCTTTGTATTGTCAGGATACCATGGACCAATTTTGAAGTGGTAACACCGAGGTATTTGGATGGCAGACATCTGGATCAAGTGATATCCGCTGTAGTCTTTGTGATATTTTTATAAGATCTGGGGGTTTCTTTGCACAATTTTGCATATCTGTAACTTGATGGGATAGATAAGCAAACTGGTTGACCTCTGATGGAGATGAAGATTTTCTCTTATGTTGGGCTTCAGTTTTAGGTTCTGCAATTTTAAAGTAATTCTGTAAAATGTTTCTCATGGGTGCCACTGATCAATGGAATTAAACCAGTTCAATAGTGTAGCCCCTGAAATTGGGAAAATAAAAATTGGAAATGTACTAGAGAAAATAAATTAACAAATTGCTGTATAATGCTGTTTAGTTTGCTTTGAAGCAGATTGCTTGCTGTTGGAAGGTTAATATTGACTGTGCTTGTATGTTTTGTTTTTTGGCAGGTAACCCTGGACTGGCAGGTTATTACAGGACCTTTATACAGGCCTTATATTGTGGACTAAATCAGCAGTATCCTGTTTGGGTTGTGAGCCATGCCGGACATTGTAAGCCTCCTAGTGGTATGGAAATGATAGAAGGTACAATACTGTAACTTGTACATACAAATATTCGTAACCTCCCCAGTTCCTCCAGCAGACTTGTGCCTACTAAAAACAGCATGACATGCTTTTTAAATGTCTCCATTGTATTTCCTCAGAGCAGTTACTGAGGAAAAGGGTATTTTTAGGTGAATTAGATTTGCCAGTCAAATAAGTGCTATTAAGAGAATTTGCTGATTGCTGTCTTTAGAGACAAGTTATAGAGAAGAAGATCTAGAACGTGGTTATGTTAAAAGGAGTAGATTAGAAAAGTACATATTTTAATGAAATGTCCACTTTAGAGATCGAGTACTTGAAGAGAGACTTAATTATCTCTGAATTTAAAAACAGTTGTATTAAATTAGTGAATTTCTAGGAAGCAAGTAAATCTTTCTGAGGCTGGGGTGTGGGGCGTTTGCGGGGTCAAGGTTGCTTGTTTATCTGTTAAAAGTCTTTTGATATGCAAATTGCCAGCAAGACATGGTAGCCAACTTGAAGTGGATATTGTTAATGTACAGCATTGTAAGATGGGGGAGCCAATAGCAAATCCTGTCCTGAAAGCTGCTTAGTGTCAGAAGACCTCTGGACTTGGTCAAGCTGCAGTGATATAGCGGTAAATCAGTATGATTCCTTAGGACCACAAGGTTCAGCAATGTAAAGCAACCTGAAAATTTTGAAGAAGAAACTTTTAGCTATTTAGCATAACTTTCTCTCACTAACCTTTGCACCTGAGCTTTTAAGGCTTTTTATTGGTTTTTCATGTCAAGTTTGAAACTGAAACATGAAACCTGTATTTCTTTGGTAAAATTCCTGCCAGTCATTGTGTTCAAGTGTCAAACTACCAAATGCTAGCACTTTTTCCTGATAGGTGAGAAATCCCTAGGTTTATAATTTCTGGCAAAATGTTAACCATGGGATCCAGGTAGAAGTCTGGCAACTGAATGGAGCTGAGTTTATTGCAGAGAACATTTGCAGGTCTCATAACCTGCCCTGGGGTCACATCTGTAAGTGTGTAGTTAGTGAGAAGAGCCTTTGATGGTGAGAGATGTGTTCAGTCACTTGAGATGGCTGAGCTAGTTGAAATGGAGAGGTTTTTAGATGGAGCGAGCAGGGATGTTGTACAACTGTCCCACTTCCACTGTGACAGTCCCTGTGCTGCTAAGGACAGTGTAAATCTGGGGGAAGGAGAGCATCCAGTAGGAAAAAGGGAGCTGGTATCTAAGTTGAAACCAAACCTCCAGCTGACTTCATTGTGTCCTTTTTTGTTGACAATGCTCCTGTGAGAGAGGGGATTTTCAGGAATGTGGCACCGTGTTAGGATGGACAGGTCAGAAATGAAGTACCATGAGGACTGGCGCTGTGTCAAGTTTTATTCAAGATATTCACCCGTAACCTGCAGAATGAGAGTAAACAGTGAAATTTCTCAGTTTGTGGGTGGTACTTCATAGCATTTAATTAGTGGGAAGATAGTAGGTGTCAGGCAACTACAGAAACATCTTAAAAAATGTAATTAGTGGGCAAAAAGATGGTAGACGAGTGTCAAGGTAGATAAATATGAGTTAATGCATCTGATGAAAAAGATCTCCTTTAGTTGTGCCTGGGTGATCCTGAACTTGGAATTCTTTTGTAAAACTCAGGAAAGATACTGGCATCATCAGCGACAGTTCTCTAATACCGTCTCTCATTGCACAGCAGCAGACGAAATTTAAGTCAACAAAGCGTTGGACATAACCAGTGTTACAGACAAGGCAGGAGGCGTTGTTTTATTACTATATGTAACCATAGTGGACCTGCATCTTGAGTATTAGTGTGCAGTTCTGTTGGGCATCTCAAAGACAACATTTCAAGTGAAGCTGGTGAGTGTATGGGGAAAGGCAACTAAAACAACAGTGAGGAAGCAGCTTCCTTGTTATGAGAGATTAAATGGTTCTTTGGTTTGGGGAGCAGAATGCTTCTGAGGAGCACGACTGAGGTTTCCAAAATCATGACAGTAAATAAGGTAAATGCAAGACCAAATACACCAGATTCAGTAATGGAACTAATAGTCACTTAATAGTACTAGCTGGTTTAAAACAGATAAAAGAAAGTATTTATTTATGCAACAGATAAAAGATTTAGGGAACTAGTAGCTGAAGCACCGTACTGTGGGCAAATTATATTAGCAGACTTAAAGTGATAAAACAACCTAATGGCCAACTGGTCCGTAAACAGCTGCTGAAGGAGCCAGGTTCTTTGTTGTGCAGGTGTGCTGCCATCCTTGCTTTGGACACTGACTACCTCCGCAGTTCTGTGCTGCTCCTGGTCCCAATGCCATCTTATGGCAGGGTTGTGAGCCTGAGAGATTCACCGCAAAGGAAAGGGATGCAGAAAGTGGCCAGGCTTGGTTTCTCTCACTAAATAGCATCTACTCTTGCCACAGCTAAGCTTGGGATCTTGCTTGCCAGACCCATTAAGGTGTTTTGTGTATTCTCAATATCATGTACCAGGATCTGTACTTAGTGGTGCACTTACTGTAGCGCCATGGAGCTAAGAAAAGCATAGAAAGCCACTGATGGATAGTTTAAAAAATAATGAAAAGACATTTATGAGATGGTTTTCATTTTTTATTTTATTAGGAGCACAGGAGCAGGAAGCTCATGTCCTGTCATTAGTATACATTTAGACAATATTCCAGAATATTCCGTAAGGAGTCTTTTTCAAGCTAGTCATCTAAGGGAACTCTGAAAAGCTTAGTGACCTTTGGAAATAATTATGTTAGTACAGTTGCCATGGGTAATATGCTGTGCTTTACAGTAGTTTTGAATGTAACAAAAGGAATATGGTTTATTTTATACAAACTCAAGGGAAGGTACAGAGTGTCTAGAAGGCCTTATATTTTACCATTTTATGACAATGTAGGTTGCCTGCAGTGAGAGAAGAGATTTGGGGTAATTCTCTCTCATCCTTATGACGTAAAAGAAGTGAAAAGCAACTTTTGGATATTAGAAGATAGCTATCCCTATCTTTTACTTATTTATTGCCAAAAATGCAACTTTCACGAATTGACTATAAAGGTGCGATCAAAACCACTAAACTAAAAATTTAGCATCTTTGTAGTTTCCCGGGTGACTGAAAGGAATAGGGAGTCATGGACTCATTGCTCATGTTCTGCTCCTGCATCCCACAGGAGTTCTTAACTGACATTTTGTGACATTATAGCAAAAAAACCCAGAACCCCAAGAACCAACAGAAGCACATGCATAGGGACAGATAATTCTGTTCTCTGCAGCTCTTTGTTGCTTTCTAGGTTCTGGATTTCTCAGGCAAAGTTCCCGTAACAAGGACCACCATATAGGGTTGTGAAAACCACAGCAGTTATTAATATGCTGCATAAAACCAGAAGGTGATATTTTGGCAAAGAACCAGGCACAAAACTGTTATTGTAAAAATTCCATGTATTCCTTCATGCTTCTGATGGGCATTTCATAATGCTTTATTTAAAATAGCCTCATGCAAATCCTCTGAGAGTGTTCAGTATCTCTTGATAAGAAGGATGGGGGGCATAAATTGACGAAGATAATGTTTGAATCTCTGACACCATTGATTCTTTAAGTTTTTCAGATTGGAATCTAGTAAAACAAAAATGGAAGAAAAAAGGGGGGGAGAGGGGAAGCTACCAGGAAAGAAGAATTTATACTGATGTATTTAGAACAGGGATCTACAAACTTTTTGATCATGCACTAGTATCAGTAAAGAATTTCAATCAGTAAAAGATTTTTTTGAGCATGCACCCCCAATATGTTTTTCTTAATATACATTATATACATGTACTACTGCATTTCTAATATTTTCTTCCAGCACCCCATTGTGCATGCCCCCCACTTTGGAGACCGCTGATTTAGAGTGTGCAAGCGTTTAAATAGTACACTTAACATATAAATGATGCTGCCTGTAAAGTAAGAAAGGGTTTAAAATTAAGCAAATTGTGTTAGAATAATGTGCCTGGTTATATTTAGATCAAATAGTCTTTCTGAGACTTTCAAAATCTAATGCAAGTTTTCCAACAGCGGCCATCAGTCACAGACTACTTCCTAATTTACTGGGGGCATGTCACATAGCGATTTGAAAACTGAACAAAGCTACACCCTTCATTTTTACTTCTGTATGATATCCTTCTATTCAGAGAGCTCTTGCAAGCTATGCTCCACAGAGACACACAACATTAATTGAACATTTCATTGCCGAAATTCTGCTCCTAGCAATCAATGCACTGCACAAAAAGATTTGAAACCAATTTTTACTCAGTGAGTGCAATAAAAAAGTTATGCCTCAATTTCAGCTTATCCTCCTCAGCTTTTACAAAAGCAGTTGTTTTGAACACTGCTGTGACTGTAAAACAGGCCAACATCAATCCATAGGTGTAGGCAAAATTACAAAGAGAGCAGCAGTTTTCTAGCTCTCTCTTGTTTAAAACTGGCATAATCTGTATTGCTTTATAAATGTTCATATAATCTTAAAAGTGTTGCCTTTTTTCATTGCCTGATATTGAGACCTTGACTCATAGTTTTGCTAATGTTTAAGATATTCGTGCCTCTTGAACAGATGCTACCTAGGAACAAGTTCTTTTATAATGCCAAAACTCCTGCCTAGTTAGTTACTCCAATTGTTTACCATGCCAAATGTATTATGTTTGTATTGTAAGTCTTTTTAAGGTGCAGGTATTTGCACATCATTTGGTTAATTTCTACCTTATAAAGACACGTTTATAAGAAAGGAAATATGTATACAAATAGATCATAATTAAGATATGGCAAACTTTTCCTTAAAAGTAAAAAAAAAATAGGCAGGTATACCCACAGTTGATTTATTTTTTTTAAGTTCCAAAGCTTCTTTTTATGTGTCACTCCATTGAAGAATTTGCATTACACCTCTTTTGAGATTTCTGAGCTGGTAAGATATTCTGCTACATCCAACCAAGTAACGTATTAGATGTTGTGAGGGTTTATTTAAACTGCAAGTTATTGTTTCCTATATGAATATGTTAGAAGTACACTATAGCTCAGTGTCAACACGGGCTACTGCCTGAATGCTAGTATCAGTACATTAGTATTTTCCTAGAGATTAAATGGGTGGTCTTTTGACTTAGTTTCAAGACTAAAGGCAGGTCATATTGTCATGGTCTATAGCCATCAATGAATGTTTCATTTTATAGGTAGTGAAATCAGAAGAAAATAAATTGTGTTGAATTGCTCTCTTTTAAACATATGATTTCCCTTAAACAGGAACAGAAAACAGTTTAAGGAAAGAATGAAAAAGTACTTTGGTGCTTTTTAAAGAAATTAAATCACTAAACAGTGTTACTCGTAAATACTTTGTAAACTTATTGATTTAAAAAAAAGGGGGATAAAACTGAAAATAAGATAAATACTCCATATTTATTCACACTGAAATGATTCTGTCAAAGTGCTGGTATAGCTGCTCAGCTTGTGAGGGTGGGCATTACAATACGTTATGAATTGTGGGGACTGAAGCTCTGAACTTTATATTACAAAATCCAGTTGAATAGAAGTGCTTGAGTGCTACAGAAGGACTAAAGATCCATGTTTAGGAGTAGATCCTCTGGTGGCAATGAATTGTAGCCAGCTGGAAGCTTTTCAACAGCCTTCCAACTTCTTTTGATAGGAAACAAACTGCTAGTTAAAACTAACACATATCAATGAACAAATCCTGAAATTATTCATTGCTAATTTTGTACACATTGCTAATTCAAGTGCTGTGTTATGAATATCTCACTTTAAGGACTAAAAGACTCACTCTCACCCAAAATTTCTTTAAAAGCTGTGGAAAATTGGAGGTTAGATAGGAAACCCTTGACACTCAGTCTCTCCAACACATCCTTCACCCCCCTTTTTTAGCACTCTGGTTGGCTTTTGCCAGTAAAGGCTGTATAGAAAGCAGGTGTACATACATAGCCACGTCTTAAAATGGTCTAATTCTATGGACATCTGCTGTGGTTTGATAAGAAATAAGAAATACAACATCTCAGACAGAAATTAGAATGGAAGAACAAAGATTGGTTTTGGTTTTCCTTAGGACCACCAAGATAGTTTTTTTTGTAGCAAAGTAAGATTGAGAAATAATGAAAAATGAAGTTGGAAGTAAATGATTTATTGATTTTTGGTAATATTCTGTGTATGCCAAGTGCTATAGAAATATGGAATAGTGTGATTCATATTTTAATTGATTAAAGAGGCACAACCGAGGCATTAAAATATCATATACCTAATAAATGGGTAGTCATCAGTCATGTCTTAATGATACAATATTTGGTCACATGATAAATTATAATAAAGATAAATCTCTAGAACTTTCTAAACTGTACAGATGAGTATTCAGCTATACACAATCGCAATACAAATACTTTTTATTGTTTTAGCAAGGCGTGTTTATCCTTTGGAACAGATTGTCTACTAAACTTTCTGTTGTTTCTGAATCAGTATTAGGTAGCTTCTGAATGACAGGGAAGTTTGAGTGGCATTCTTAATAGCCAAGTTACAAGATAAAATTCTAGTTTGACCTTTTTTGTCCCATGGACTGTAGAAGATAATAGTGTGTCCTTAAAATCTGTTAAACTATCCTTAGTTCATTTTCCATGATAAAAAGAGGCAGGTAAGGATTGATTTGTAGTCCACCGAAAGAGTGTTTCTGTTGCTTTCTCTTTATGCAGGGAGAGTAGTGCCTTCAGACCATTTTGAAAATGAATTATATCCTTAAGAAGCAATATGGGGAAAGAGCGTGGAAGTGGTGGAGGGATAATAAATTATCTGTGAAGATATTGATTATGTGATCCCAAAATATTAATGTACCATCAGTGTGAAGTTTTGAAGTGAAATGGAAGTTTTGTATCAAAAAAATAAATTGTAGTGTTACAGGAAATTTTGGAAGCCATGTGCAGCTTGAATTTATTTGAGATATTGCTTCTTAGCTGTTGTTAGAATTCATCTGAATAGAGTTTGCTTTTCCAGCCCTCAGACTTCTGATGAAACTGCAGAATTGACTATTAGTGAGATTCTGCCTCTAGTTAAAAGGATATAAATCTACAAAAAAAAAAACAAACCTGAAATAATTTGGGTAAAACTGAATTTACACTTCAGGAAGTTAATCATCTCATTGATTGCTAGATAGTTGTCCACCAAATGACAGATAAAAGTGTGGGCATGATTAGCAGATATGAGCCTTGAGCTTCTACCATCATGATATGCTGTGCTAGCAGGAAAAAACCTAAAGTAGTAGCCTGAGCAAGACAAAGAACATGGTGTTCTATAATAAGAGGGTTATGAGTTATTTAGGACAGTGATTCCCAAACTGTGGTCTGTGGGCCACTGGTGGTTCCCAGGACACTTGCTTGTGGTCCAAGAAGAGCTGGCTGATCCCATGTAGTTGGCTCTCTCACCAGTTTCCACTTGCTAAGTGGAATTAATGGTAGCTAAGAATACTTTTCCAATAACACTTTTTTTGTGTAACCATTTGCTGCGGTGGCCTTAGAGATGCTGGCCACCATGAATGTGTGGTGATGGTGGGGAGTGGGACTATGATCTGCACTGCTGCAAACAGGAGAGGAGATCGTGAAAGCTAGGTGTTCCGAGAACAGGGCTCCTAAAAACAGGGACTCATCCTTAGCTAACAGCCTTTGTCCTTGTTGTTGTGTATAACCCCAAAGGAAAGAAGTTACGCAGGCACAGGGAGTCAGTATGCATTTGGTAATTTATCTAGCTTGTGACTTTCATTTATTTTAAGTAGTACGGATGTTTCTAATGATTGCTCATGTTGGAGAATACCTACACTGCTGAATCAGGTGAATCAGAGCTACTGGCAATCTGTTCAGTCAGTACAAAAACACTTCAGAATTAGTGTCTGTAGTGCTTAGAAGGTTTTTGACCAGCAAATCCTTATCTGGGCTTCAGCACTGTTTGGTTGGTAGTCATGGTAGGTATCTGGCCCCATTGAGGTACACAGTAATAGCTGTGTTTAAAAGGCATTTACATCTTGTATTACACAAGTAAAGGGAGCAAAGCAGTAGAAAGGCAGCTGAGCTGTCATCTCACATGCATACTTTAAGCTTATACATACACACATTTAATTCACATTACAGACATTTAATTCACATTAATTTCTATTTCAACAATATTTTCTGCTTCCTAGGAGTATAAATTAAAATATCTGAGAATCATTGAAAGATGGGTTATCTTTAATATAAGTTCTTTCGAGATTCAGTCAGTTATGTTTAAATATTATAGACCTAGATATGTCTGTAGTCATGTTTGCGTCCCAGAGCACATAGGGACGCAAATAAAATTCTGCTTAATTTTAGTGCAGAATTACATGGCAAGATGTCTCCCAGTCCAATGGTATCACGCTGTAGATGCGTTAAAAAGAACCAAGTTGTAAGCATGCCATCCAGGTAGAATTAAGCTAGTTTCATAACTAAGTGTTTCATACCGAAGTGTCATTTTTTTGATGTATAGAGAGGAGAAGCTTCCTGTTTACGAAGCTGGTCTCAGCACTGATTAATCGCATTGAGCTCTTCACATGGTATTCATCAACAGCAAGGGATCCTACGTCGGGGTGTACACAGAGGAACTGGTTGTTTTCACAGGATGGGACAGGAACTGTCAGCTCAGTGCTGTCCTGCTGCCCCTCCTGATACAGTAATTGCTGCTGCACAGAAAGTTATTCCTTCCTTGTCTTGGAAAAGGCAGCTCAAGGAAGTGTGTGTGCATATGTAAAAGTTATTATGAGGCACTTAAATGTTGAAGTTTTTGTCTTTGCCTGGTAAGATCTGCATTTTACTGTATGGTTTTAGTGCTAGGTGTCTATTTTAAGGAAACAAATTATCATTTTGTGTTATGAACCCACTGGAATGTTTTAAATCTAAATGTGTGAAAAGTAAGCAGCCGTAGGCATGCTGCACTACTCCATTTACTTCCTTCCTTTGAGCCACATTCAGTTAATTATTCATAGAGGTCCCGTAATCATGCCCACAATTATGCAAATAGATCCTTTGAGCGAAATCTTGACATTTGGTGTTGACTTTATCAGTTCTGCTTCATTTTAAGCATGCATTTAAAAATCTTGTTCCATTCAAAACCAAAACTAAGAAAAGAAAATTTTGCCATATGTGAAGTATTTCTAAGTTCCTCTATTGTTTTCTTTTCTGGCCAAGCAAAATGATAACAATTTTAACTGCTAATAGCATCATACCTTAACAGCCGTGTATTTATTTGTAATGATCACTTCAACACTGTTAAGCTGATTCTGGTACCACTTAATGCATAGCTCTATATTCCATTGACTTTGATGGAGTAGTGACCAATTTTTGTTGATGTTACTAAGATGACGACTTTACATTTCTTATAGC